AAGGTTCAAAAAGCAGATATAAACTGCAAAAAGTTCGAGTATAAAAGTAGTCTACTCTAAGAAATAAAGTGACATATAACCGGCACTGCTTTTTTGTCTCGTTTAAATTGAGAAAAAAAAATTTGATATCGTCAATCATACACGTGGCGAGAATATATATACGTTTATAAGAAGCATGTTTCTTCGTTTGAAGGAAAATGTTAGAAAAGGGTAGATTGCTCCATGTGATATAAACATATATATATATATATATATACTCTGGCCACGTGTATGATTAACGATACAGAGAGATTCGCGGAGTAGCGCCGCGACTACAAGACTTTATAGCGATCGCGACGCGAGATAGCGAATCAATAGCGATCGCGTCGCGACTTTGAAATCGCGTCACGAGTCTTCTAAAATACGTTTCTTGAAAGGATACGACTTCGCGAGTTCACAGCGATCGCTATCGCGACAGAGCGATCGCGCCGCGAGTTAGACGCGAGTGTCGACCTGGGTATTTTCTAATTAATCGCAATTTTTCACTGCTTCAAACTGAAATATAGTCATTATTGCTATAAATGTTTTGATTTTTTGTTTCTATTTTAGAGTGAAAAACTAATATTTAATAATACAATCAATCTACCAATATGAGAGAAGTGAGGAGAGATTAATAAAATATCTAAAACATCACTGAATATCGGCGTGTAGAGCGACATCTATACGCAATAATTAGTTAAATAGAAAAGACCAAATAGAATAAAGTTTAAAAATTCAATCAATAAAGCACATTTAGTATTATCAGTAATGCATAGAAACATATTTATTTAATCATCATCTGCTAGTTGATTGGTTCTTAAGAAAAAAACCGTTCATTTAAATTTTTTGTATGAGGATTATTATTTTGTTTATTATTTTATTTTGATTTATTTATTCATTTATTTATCGTTTCGTTCTTCGACTTGCCTTATTCTACAACTTAACTGTTTACGGTTTCAATTCATCCTGTCTAGTTTCAATGCCACTAATATGTTTTTGGATAATATTGCTTTTGTAACAAAACAACATGTTACCCCCATTTACATCAACATCTGTCAATTATGATTGTGTTGGATCCAAAAACGGAAATGGGAGCACGTGGTCATGGGCTGCAGGATGCGTAGCGGTAGCTGCAGCCTTTATACCGACCACTACGTCACGCGAAACGTCCGAACAATCAAATCCGTGTTTGATGAAAAACACAACATCGACAACAAATGACTTGAATGAAAATCATAAACAACTAGTCATTAATTATGACCAAACTGAAGTGCCAAGTACGTATGATAAAAGAAAATTTCCTTTTTTACAATAAATAACGGTTCAGTTATTAGCAAAAAACGATCAAAATATGTCTGCTGCATGTGTTCGAGATACTTCCTAAAAAACAATTTAAAAAATACTTTTTATTTGCTGTGAAAACTGTTTTTTAAACTGATGATCAAACTTTTAAAAATTCATATATGTTCTAAACGAAAATATTTCTTTCAAAATGTATCATACAACCGAGTGTATAAAAAATATAGGTTTCAAAAGAAATGTTCTTACCAATGGCCTTAGATGTGAAAACATTTGATGCTCCTGTTTCTCGGTAAAAAGATTACCCTATAAAGAAAATTCCAGTGCGCACCGGTGCACATGGCATGCCATCGGTCACTGACACGCTGGCACCGGTGCGTACCCGTGCCCAGCAAGTGTCGATATATTTCTGCCCAAATAGTGTCGCACTGGCAAAAATCAGTGCCGCCCTGAAATTTATTTAATCAATTTAATTAGTTTTTTTATTATAGTTGGTTATGCTGAATTTTGTATTAGAGTGCAATACTGATCAGTACCATATTGACATGCCAAAACCATGCGGCATTGCCTCGGCACTTCTCTTATGAGAAGGAAAAGATGAAGTCAGAATAAAGACATTCGAAATATTAGAAGTAGACTATGGTGTTAATATAGACAGAAATTGAAAAAACACCACCTCTTGTATGATATAGATTTCGAAAAGAGTATCCTGGTTTAGAAAATATATGAATTTCAAGTTCTTTCCAGAAATTACTCCTGAGGATCTTAGGTATTTGAATTCATCACTGGGAAGTCTTTGATCGATTTTAAACCGCTTGATTGAGACATTAACATATGATCAGTGTAGGTAATACTCAGGGCTACTCATGCTACTGGTGCCTTAGTTCAAATATATACGTCTTTCATCCATGTTTGATCTTCGTATGAAAACTAACTTTAAGCCATAAACAGAGTATAGGATAAGGTTACGTACTCTTTGAATACCAGCATTCTATTAAGTGCTGAGTCCACTTTACTGGATGCGCTACATTGGAACATACATTTAAGAACAATTCAATATTCAGTTCCAAGAAAGAAAGGAATTTATTTAACTTGTTAATTAAGAGCCTCGCCCGTCGGAAATTGATGATTTTTACAGAAAAATTGAAATTAAGTTTCTTGCTCAGCTAGATAGGCTAAAGATTCTCCTTTCATAATATGTGTCGCTTTCCACTAAAGAACTAGGTTTTTTATGAGGTTTTGAGAGGTTTACTGTCAGCCATCTCGGTTTTCAGCCAATTTTTAGCAATTTTTCCATAGTTACCGTGGATAAAATAGCATCATTTTGAGTAGTGACGATGTTTGCTTAGTGTATTATGCCGTAATCATGATATCTGATATTTTTGTCAGATATTCATTAGGTTTTCTAGTGGTCAAATAACCTGTAGGAGGATAAAAGCAAGACTTTCTTTCTGCTTCATAAGTATGTATCACACTCCTACATCGAACTTTAGATCAGCTGTCACTATGCTCTTCAGACTTGTTTAACGTTTTTCTCAGAACATGGTTTTAGCGGAGCAAAATTGTATCTCCTCCTAGACAATTTATCGTAAAACCTTGTTTTTATTTTACTTTGAAGCTAAGACATTTATCTAAATTTTGTCCTTAACGATTTTTGAATTTCGTTTTCTGTGAGAGATAAGTGTCAAATACTCCGCCGAATTAGAGTTATTTTCAGAGTTCTGGGGGCCGTACCACAAAAAAGTTTAAGACTTCGTTATGTGCACTTACGTGCTAATTTTGTACACTTAAGTCTAGACTCTGACTTAAGTTTTTTGGGGCCTACTGACTTAAAACACATGCAGGAATGAACGGAAACGAAATCCAAAAATCGCTCTGGACAAACTTTAGATTTAGGTGTCTATTTTCATTTGAAACCAACCACAGGAGCCAAACAACCGCTTTCTGCTTCTTTCAACAACAAAACCTTAACGATTTTGCCAAGAGCCTCATTTTGCCTGTTGTCACGCAATAACAGGTCAACGTTTCGAGCTCGAATTTTTAGCATAAGTTAGATGGATAGTAAGCATCAATCAATGTAAGTGCCATCGAAATCGGATATAAGATAAAAAACGTTTTTTCCTGAGGGGAGGGGAGGCCCTTAAGAACTAGGATCAAGGCTGTTAAAATAAGACACGAGAACGGGCTTCAGCTCTTCTGTCTTCGAAAACATTATAAAATCTGACTATTTTGCGAAAAGAGGGAGAGAGAGAGAGAGAGAGAGAGAGAGAGAGAGAGAGAACTGGATATGCTAATGCTAAACAATGTTATACCTACTTTTTTGCTGAGTCTTTAAATGATGATTGTCTAGGGAAGAGAGTGATTATGCAACCGCGAGTACATAATGCTAAAATTGTTAAAGGGTATCGTCCCGATTCGTCGACTCATTAATTTTTTTCCTGACTCATCGGCAACATGAGGGATGAGAGATGAAAGATGTTAGTGATGCATCGACACTATAAAATGTCGACAAGATAGAAAAATCAATTAACGTGTCGACAAATCGGAACTAAACTGTTTAAAGATATGATACATAATTTGTAATTGTGTGGATGAGCAATCACCAAACTTTTCATTCTGCCACTACATACCTGACGATGTACTTGTACATATATTTGTGCCTAACATGACGAAACTTTTTTCTCTTTTTACCTTTCATCGAATGTTTAAGTATATAACCATAGTAAGTAGAAAATTGTTGTACAGAAAAAAGAAAGTATAATATATATGTACGTTGTATTTCTTTTTTATGTAAATAAGAAATGAAAAAAGTTTTTAGATGACGAGTATCTCACATACTACATTTTTCATCACGATTAATTACTATAATATGTGAGGAGCATAGAAGAGTGTTAATAGGGGGCTGTCCATTTGTGTTTGATAAAAACAAGTTGAAAATCAATTTTAATTCTCTTCTGTATGCACACTTACGAATATTGACATTGGAAGAAAAGTAAATTTTGTATTAAAAAAAGCCTAACAACGATCAATCTTATTCATATTCTTATATTAAAAAGTTGGTACTAAGATTAAAAACCTTTGATGCATGACAACAGTGAAATAATATTAGGTAAAAATTTTATAGACTTGTTTTTATATTACTCATCTACATATTTTTTGTCTCTAACTTTCTATCACTTAATTAATAATTGATACTTTCTAACCATGATATGTTGTAATCGGATGTAGTAATGAAGGATACAGACACTCTATAATAGGTCGTAGTACAACTGATGTTATTTCGATTAGTAGGGTAGTCAATCTCAATCATTTATATCGGCGAGTTTTTGTACAAAAGATTTTATATGAAAAATATTGGCTGACTTAGATGTCCGTCCTAGACACTTGTAAATATAAGAAACAAAGAGTACGTTCTTCTTTAAGCTTTTCGTTCTCTTTTTAGCCAAAAATGGTGTAGAACACCGTGCATTACGAATCTTACTCTTTGCTGAGAGTTTTCCATCATTTACAAGTGGAATAACACGACGATTCAAAGAAATAATACGACGTTTAGCTAAAAAAGGTCATTATATTCATGTTATTACAGGTTGTAAGGTGAGTTCTTGTTAAAAAAATACTACAATACACGTTAGCTCGCTTTTTTCTTCCATTTAGAATGCTTCAACTTGGACAGATGGTAATGATTTATTGCATGAACATGTAACATTCTCCATATTACCATCGACAGCTTTTACAAATAAAATTGATTGTGCTTGTCCATTCTTATTTCCACATGTATGTACTCTTATCTATTTCATTGTTAGGAAAGATAACTGTTCTTTTTTTCGCGTGGTGTCTAGACTAAGGTATAATTAAGCCACTGAAAATGTATGATATCAGTCAGCTGTCCTTGCATCTAAAATAAGTTTTTCTTTTTGTTTTAGCCAAGTATTTGTTCTGCAATTCGTAATTATCAACCTGATGTCGTCCATGTTGTTGAACAAACGCCTGCAGCAATGATGTGTGGCGTATTTGCCAAAGCATTAAATCTCCCAATTGTATGGTCATCTCATACAAACATAGATTTTTATTTATCAACTTATGTGCGTTCATACGCTGTTAAATTTGCAAGAAAAATCTATCAATATATTCGTTTGAAACATTTAGTATATTCATCAATTAATTTGACCGTTAGTCAAGATTTTGCCGATTTTATGGAACAAACTGGTGTACCATCACCTATTCTTGTATGGAAAACGGGTGTTGATTCTGATCTATTTCATCCACAACGTAAATCATTAACAATGCGTCAACGTATGTTTGGTACAAAACATAATTATACTGTTGATGAAATGAATAATATCACATTATTTTTATGTGTTGGACGAATTTCACCAGAGAAAAATTTTGAATTTTTATCATTAGTATTAGATCGTATTCCATCACAAACATTTTTATGTATTATTGGCGACGGTCCATTTCGACAAACATTAGAACCATTATTTCCTATCGAGCGTGTCTATTTTTTTGGATATTTAGGTGGTGAAGAATTAGCCTCAGCGTATGCAAGTGCCGACTATTTCATCTATGCAAGTATATCAGAAACATTTGGACAAGTGTATTTGGAAGCTATGGCGAGTGGAACACCTGTTATAGCAGCAGAAGGTGGTCAGATGAAAGAATTTTTTCATAATGGTGAACATGGCTACGTATGGAAACCGGGCGATTTGGATGATGCTGAAAAGGCTGTTAGACATGCAATGAAAGAACGAGATCGTTTATCAATTAATGCCAGAAAACAAGCATTAAAACATTCGTGGGATAATGCAGCTGATCAACTAGATAATGTTTATTATTCAGCATTAATCAAACATAACGATGACCATTATGCTGCGCCGTCCACATTTTTTCTTATATTCAGGCTATTCTATTATACAATCGTATGGTTTATTTGTATTGGTCTTGCAATTGTTTTTATGCTTCCATTTGTTAGAGTTTGTAGTCCAATAATTAAAAATACGACTACAACAGCAGCAACGTCAACAGCATTGTCGTCGAAAAATAGACAAAAGAATGATAATAATAATAATGAAATTTCACTATCGTATAAAAATGGATTTCGAAAACAGACTATAACCAAGTAATGGTGCTCGACCTTTCATCATAGCTGTTGTTTCTTCTCAGGTTGAAGATCTTTATAGTTTTTTTTTATCGGATAATTTGTTGTTATTCATTGTTTATTTGATTGTTTCTTCTTTTGAATGATCTGTATTCTGAAATTGTAATTTTGTTTTTCTATGTGACAATAACTCACCTTGAATCTTGAGAAGTCTGTTTTTTTTATATTCTTTTGTTTACTGTGTAGTTAAATTATTATTCACGCATAAACTTTGTAGTTTCTCTACACTTAACGAGCATCATAACAATATCGGTATGAGAACAGTAGGATATATTTTTCTGCTTGTTACATTAAATGTATAGATTTTTGTCTCTTTAGCTTTGACACTTGTTAAGACACATGTAACACATGCTTTTTCTTTTCTTGTATTTTTATAGTAATATCTTTTCCCTGTTTTCTACTGTGATATGTTACTTATCACACATTTTCTCTTTCTGGCTCAACACAATTTTTTCCTTCATTTGTTTGATCTGACCTATTTTTTTGTTAAAATACTAGATAATCTTTCTTGCTCTCATTCTTATTCATGCTGAAGGTTTATTGTATTCTTTATTTCTGTGTATTCCGGCTTATTTTATATTTAATTATGTTATTTACATTTTCCTGACATCAATTCATTCTCATTCTCATTCTCATTTTCTCGTTTTTTTATATTCTCAGCTATAAAATTTCTGTACAACTTTGTTTTTGTTTTTTTGTTGTTTTGATCTAGCAGGCTACAGCAGTTCAATTGAAATGGAATTTAACTTTATTGACTGTGTATGTTTAGATTAGATGTATGTGTTTGATTCGATTGTTTTTCATGTGCTCTCGTTAATTTTAATAAAAGGACAGTTTTTTTCTACTAAATATTGTACGTTTTGGTTTAGTTTGTAAAAACATTAGAATTTTTGCGTAAAAAAGGGCGCTCAACACATTTTTTTTACAGTCCAGAATATTGAGTTTTCTTCGTTGTTTTGTCACGTATATGTATTTTCTTTTATATACACTGAAAAATTATTTGTTTTCAAAAAAGATGAATTTAGGAATCTTTTTTTTATAAAAATTGCTGAAACAAGATAAGAAAATTTTTATTCCACTTGATTGACTTATTCATTTGTCTTTGAAATAATTTTCTTATCACTTCCAATAAAAAACAAGGAATTACTTTTATTACTTACTTACTACCCTTTGCAAATCAAATTTGTTGATTTCACTCTTCCATTAGCATAATCGAAGGACAATCGTTAGCTGGTAGGTAATGTTTCATTTGTTTACCTATACTATAATGAAACAGTATTCAACTACAATGAGAACTCTCTTGTATTTTTTATTTTGTGTCCTCAATGTTGGCTGTTCCAGGTGAGATCAAGAATATCTGTAATTTATGTGCTCAATGATGTTCAAGATGCCTAGGTACGTAACAGAAAACGAGAGAGATTGCTATAAAAGTCAACTACAATCCATGTTCATCTCTTGTCTCCATACTTTTGAATTGTTTACGAAAAACAACTTTTGACCGTATCTTCACGTAAACTTTTAGACAATTATTCTTCGTGTTGCATGTGTCGAAATTTTGTTTTAAAATTCTCGAAAAACTGTCGTCAGAACAAAGTGAGGAAACAGCTGGAAATAATTAGTAGTTTCACTCCTCTCTGCCTTGCCGACGTACGAACAATGAATTATGTGTGATTACAGTTGAATTACTCATTATTTAATAATTTATTCGATAAACTTTATTCATCATGATCATTTGAGATTCTGAATACTGTTCTAGCTGAAAATTGTTTTTTTCCGTACAGTTTTACCTGCCGTTTTTTGTTATAATTAAACAGATGTAGCACCATTTAATCCGCTCAGTATATCTTTATATTTATTATATTGCAGATATAAGAACGTATCCGATAATGCCGTCAAAACAGAAAAAATCAAAGTCTATCGAGGATGATATCAAATTATCTCAAGATGGTACACGTCGAAGAATATTTAATGTAAATCGATGGCGATTGTTATGTCGATATGAGAATTGTCTAACACCAGCGAAACAATTTTGTCGACGTCATAAGGACAAGCAATCAGAGAAAAACATTAATAATGGAGAAAATATTGTAGTGGCAACAGAAAATGGTAGTAATAATGATAATATACCTGGACAATGGAAAAGAGGTGATTTGACAATTTTATCCAATTCTCGCCGCCATATTTTTGATGGGAAACAGTTTCGACAATTATGCAAAATGGACAATTGTATGATACAAGCTCGAGAATATTGTCGAAGACATGTACATTTCGCACGAAAAATCAGTGATAGTAAACATTTTTTTGGGCTAAACAAATAATAGTTTGTATTAGACTCTTTCTCTCTTTTTCTAGTATCACCTGACGAAGATAAATCTGATAAAATGACAGTAAATAATGAGATAATTAAGACTAATTATGTAGAAGAACAAGAACAACAGTTAATACCACAGAGAGGTGATGTTAAAACAATCAAAAGTGGGCGTCGTGTACGATTTTCTGGTAAATTTTTTGTTTATTAATTCAACGATTTTCGATGATTTCTTGTTTGATGTGTTGCCAATATCAGAGGTTTTCATTCACGCCTGAGTAAATTGGCTACGTAATAGAACCTCTAATTTTTTAGGAAAAAAATGGAATTGGTGCTGTATAAAAGATGAGTGTACTAAAGTTGTCTGTCGTCAATCATATTGTTTTGTTCATTTAACTGAATTTAACCAAAAAAAACTCGAAAAAATTGATCAAAATAATAAGAAAAAAAGAAAACAAGTTGGAAAATTGAGAAAATATCAAATTTCAACTGAGAGAAAATTACGAAATACAAAACGTTCCAAGAGTGTACAAGGCAAGCTAATATTGCAAAGTCATCTTGTTAATTTTGTTGATTGATGACATTATTCATTTACCTTTCAGATAGTAGTGAAACTATATCATCAACTCAAATGATTCAACAAGAAATACAAGTACGTTTCTCAGAGTATCTTCTGAATAAGAAAATGCTTTATCTGTCACAATCTAATTGTATCTGCTCTAGTTTGTTTCAGTACTTTACGGGTATAAAGTTGATTTGGTTTACAGTGGCTTTGTCGGATCTTAGTCACTTTTTTGTTTTGTGTTTCTCACTTTTCAAAAACTTTACGGTTTGCTTTAGGAGGAAGAGAATGCTTTTTGTTAGATCAATTGAGCTTTTAGTATGACTTGCACATTTTCTTTTTATAAAATACACTGCTATAAAAAAAATACAATGCTCTTTAGAGACTTACAACAAAATAAAGTACGATTTCTGTACACACACACCGACCAACATTAGTGTATCAGAAACTGAACTACAAAATATATGATAATTTTTGTTAGCAGCATATACCGTGTTTGTGCTCTCTTAAGTATAATAGTTATTAGATGTTAGAGAAAATTTAACACTGTCAACAATATTTGCCTCTGCTTGCACACAACTCGATTGACTTTTTAGCTTCAAATTGACTCAGATATTTTGAAAGAAAAATATATTGAACAATCGGTTCAAACCGATTTATTTTGTCCATTTTTGGAGACTAAAATAGAAGAAACTGATAATATGACATTTACTTTATCAACAACAACATCAAGGACAACCCAAGAACAATCACAACAACATTTTTGTAATGAAATGAATCAAGTAATTATCAAACAGGTATTCTGTTCACCGTATTCGTTATTGCTTAATCTTTATTGATTTCTTCTGTTAAGGATATGGAGAATGAATCATTAATCGTTCCTGGTAATCTACCATCTGTTCCACAGACATTGCAAGATGTTCTTCGTCAATTTGAAACAGAAAAGAATAATTTTAATTTTGAATGTGAACGAATTAGTGATAGTCTTAGGAATTTGTACGATTATATTGAAAATTAGTTTTAAATTAGAAAAATCTCGTTGAACTAGACATTATTTATCTTGTTTTTTTCCAAAGCAAAAGTCCGAATGAACTATAAGCTAATAAGCATGTAATGATAATGGGCATTTTCTTTTCTTGTTGTGTCCATTTCTAAATGACCTATGCTTTGCTTATGTATGTAAATCTTGTACGTCCATTTTTTTCTCCTTGTTTTTGTTTGTTTCATTTTGGAAACTATAATGTATAACTGTAACAACCAGATTGCTCTACTAAACTTACTTCCGATTCTTACATTCTTTGTTTGTGCTAGATAATTGCTTAATAGGAAACTAAGAAAATTTTTTTATCGTTTGTAATTCTTGTTGAGCTTACCGATTGTTTGTGACTATCACTTGACTTTTCATCCCTTAATCAAATGTTAGCATATTACTTCCATTTCAGTCGTAATGTCTGCACCGAAACGTTTTCGAGCATTAAAGAAATGTGAACATGTTAAATGGAGTGAGAACAATGATTGGTTAGTTGTTTCATCAAAGTTTGCACAATTTATCATTTTTACCATCATCTTTTTTTGTTTTTTTTGAAGTGATGATGAACAATACGTTATGTGCCCTCATTGCAACCATATGTTATGTTTACATCACTTAAATGAACACCAAGAACTCATGAAAAAACTTATGGATGAATTGATTGATGAAGCAAATCAAGAAACATCCCAATTACAAGTAACTATAATCATTATTCATGTATCAAATTGAAAAGAATTCATAAGAAGTTTAAGAGAAACAAGAGTTTACATGTCAGAAACAGTTTGAAAAGTTCTAATCTGTATTTCTTATGTAAGTCTCTGATGAAAATATGTTTTAAGTTCCTTCCTTTTAATATGTGATTAGTTCGTAGAGAATCATATTCACCTTGAAATATGACGGGTTTTGAACCTTACTTATTGTATCCATAATGGTGGGGAATTTTGAAGTTTGATATCTTCAGTTCATTTTCAGGCAATAAATTTGGCCGATAATCGTAATGCTTTATTTGAAAAATTAAAACAATGGCGTCACAATTCGATGTTGTACATTGAACAGTTATATGATGAAAAATTAAATGATATTGACAAATTGTATGATAAATCAAATGATGAATTTGAACAATATAAGCAAAAAAAATTAAAACCAATTATTGAACAAATGACATTTGCATGTGAACAACAAACACGAAAAAAAACGGTGAATACTTACGATATCAATGAATTAAAAGAGCAACTAACGAAGTAGGTTATTCGTTTTTTACTTCATAATAATTTGTTCCCTTTAAAATAGCTAAAGGGTCAATATTGTCGACGCGTTTGCTTTTGATCTTAAAATGAAACTACTCCTACTACTCTACACATTATTTTTGAATAATTTAGATTAAAACAGTTAACATCAAAACTTGAAGAAATGAAAATTATTGTTCAATTCGATAAAAAACGATTTGGTAAGTAAATTTATTATGAAATATCAATGCTACTATCCTGCGCTTCTTATCGTTAATCTATATACTTTTAGATATCATCAATATTTCTCGTGAAAAAACATTTGAAGAAATTGAAGATCAAAGTATTGAGTTATTCAATAAAGAACCCGATCGAATTATTCAAACAAAATCAAACTGTCGAGAATTTGCATCGTCTCAAGATTTTACATTATTAGGAAATCGAACTGAATTATTATTGTATAAAAATGATGGTCATCCAGTGGGAAGAGTTCAATGGACTATGAAAAATAATGGAATATTACAAGGTAAATGAGTGATGTTCATTTTAATATGTTCAACTATTCCAGTAGAAGATAAACAATTATTTCTTTTTTTTAAATTATATCTTCAATTATTATTTATTACATATTTAGACATGTGCTACAGTGAATTGTTAAAATGTTTTCTCATTTTGTCGGTCCATTCTGTATTCACCTTGACAACAAAACAACCATTTACGTTAAGTAAAATTGAACAATTACAACCACATGATAAAAAACGCTTTGATTATTTAACGTGTACATCACAAGACACTCTATTTTTAAATCAAACATTAGGATGTTATATTGATAAAATTTCGACAGTTAATAATTATCAATTAGTCAAACGATATAATAAAACTGATCTGATACAATGCGATGACAAAAGTATTGGTATCATTCATACTAATGACAATTCTATTGCTATGAATATTTGGAATAAACAAGATCAAACAAGAATTGATGTAGGAGGTTATTCATTACACTATCATTTATTTATCCTTTAGTAGCTAATAGGTCATATTCTAAAAGAAAAAGGCACAAAACCTTTTTCATTCAATTTGGAGAAAAAAGAATTTTTTTCCTTTGGAATTTTTCTAGAGAGCGCCGCCACATTATGTTTGCCCGAATACGAATAGTGAGTGCAATCGTATGTAAAGATGTAGGGCGATAATTTTATCGTCAGTGGCGAAAACTACTAAAAGCATCTTTTACCGTGGCGGCGAACGTTTTTTTGAATAACCTAAATAGTACTGGATTTTTTTTGTAGAAAATGTGGTTTTTCCATCATCTCGAAATTGACGATGTGGAGGTGGAAAATCTCCTGAGAATTATTATCCTAAGGCTTCTAGTCGAACGCATTCGAACTTTTGCTGTTTCGAGTAAAAATTTTTGAAGAATTAAAATATAACGGAAAAATGTCTTTCAGCCTCCGTATCCATCCAAAAATTTTTCTGAATTCGCCCCTATACACGACGAACGAATAGAAGGATTAATTTTGAGTATTTTATAGGTATTTGATTTGTCAATAATGAATCGATTGTACAAAATACAACATTCGAATAATGATGATCTTTTTCTCCTAACAACACTTTGTAACGAACAATGGTTATGTTTTAATTCAAAAACATCACAACTTTATTTAATTGAAAAAACTGGTGTTTTAAGATGTATTAAACAAGAAAATGAAATGTGTAATGGTTCTGGTGAAATATGTTAGTATTTCGTTATTTACTGTGAATACTTTTATACAAATTATTTTTCTTAATTTTTTCAGTAAATGGTACATGGATTAATATTGAAAATCAAGTTATACTTGGTCGAAAGAAGGGTGATCATGTCCAATTAGAAATATATAAATTGAATACAACAATGTCAATATCAATGTGAGAACATTATTGTTTTGTACAATTGCTTTTTAAACTTTATATCACGAAATAGAAGTCATATCTGGAGAGTACTGACGTTCAACAATCTTTTTTTGTTTTGCTTTTATTGAAAGACATTTCGTAGTTTCGTCGTTACTTATTTTCTTTTTTATTGTTTATTGTCAGATCTGTTTGTTTTTTCATGAACACATTTTTTATTATTATTTCTTTATTTCAGAATAGAATTGTTGCTCATATTTTTTATTTTCAAGGATTCAAATTTATGGTCTTTGTTAACTATCGCTTGTTGATTTTTCTTTATTTGTTTCATAGTAATACTACAGAACATATTTACATAGCCTAGATTTAACGTTTTCTAATAGCTGTAAATAAGTGATGTGTACTGTGATTATTTTGATAGATATTGTTTTCTTTATTTTTGTATTATGTGCCAAGAATGTATCTTGAAATAAACTAGAATGAAATAGGATACGAAACTTAAAAAAACAACAACAAAGTACAATCAAAGTAAAGGCTTAGTTAATATACCTGAGAAGAAGTAGGTCTTAAAACGGGTTTCAAAGAACAAAAGAAAGGATGATTATTCAAAGTTTGAATGATTACAAGTGTAATAAAATGCAGAGATGAAAAAAAAGCAGTCCTATCATGAAAACGTCCTATCACACGTGTTGGCTCACACTATGTGCACATCATTTTTCTCATTTATTATTATTTCAAAACATGGCAGTATTTTTCATCATTTTACTCTTTTATGTAACTTGAAGGTTTTATTTATTGATCTCTCGTATGCACAAGACAAGAAGAAATTATAATTTAACATTATTTGCAGAAGAATAAAGCAGTCAGAGTTTAAGGAATAGAACAAATCCTTTTATTGTACCCCAAACAGCCATTTTTATATATCTATCAATTAAAAATTAGTAATTTGACTACTTTTACCAAGAAGATGACGATGACAATTAAATTATCTACTATTCATGTACAGACTCGACGGAAAGTGAATCTGATAGACACTCATAGTTAACTGGAAATTCGAAGAACCAACGTTCGATCATGTCTCTCATTCTATTCATATCTCATCTACGAAAGACTTTTCAATCCTTAACACGTATATATATCAAACATAATGATGAATAGATGAATTTAATCAAAGTGAAATATAATAAATGTTATTATTACAACAGAAAAAAATAATAATTTCGCCAATAGAGCATAAGAATATAAAATACTGAATAAAATAAATTTTTGCAATCATAAACATATATTAATTTGTGCTGTTTTCTAATATATTTTAATTATTAGTTCTCAATAAAGATGTTGAATAGTTTTACAGATTCATAAGAAAAAGAAAGATTGGTGATAATGATTTATTCAAGAACATGACAATAGGTTGACATTTTTTTTCTATATAAAATGTTGTTATGATTTTCCAACTCTAACATCTAGCTATATCTCAAAGTTACTCTCTCTTGATTATTCATTATGATTAGTCTATATGATTCGATTCTTCCATAAATACATCATGTGTAATTAAACTGATATTCGTATATATCTTAAGGCTTTGGTAAATAAATATTTGTGTATGATGAATAAACAGTGAATAAACTCAAGTTTTAAATAAATGAGGTCACGATAATTAGACCTTTTTTTTTTTTTCGTTTCGTTTCTTTTCAATGTTAATACCAAATAAGTGCTAAATATGATTACTTTTCTTCTTCATTTTCTTTTTCGCGTTAGAGAGAAAAGTATACTGTATACAATACTAGCAGAAATGTTATCTTAGTGTTCATTAACCAGCGCCCTCCCACACTCTCAACATCGTTTAATTATAATAAACAAAAACGATACACAACTATAACGGTTAATTACTGCCATCATCATATATTTTTTTGTTTCTTGAAACTGCGATAAAAATATTACTTGAAAAATTTATGAAAATCCTATTTGACTCTACCATGTTTTATTATTAAAGAGATGTCTTTGAAATAACAGTAAATTTGAGAAAGAAGCAAGAGAGAATGTGATCAACAGATGTATGGTATAAATTGTGTAATTACTTTTGTCTTAATCCAACTATACTCACATTTTACAAAAGAAAGAAAAATACATTTACATTTTGTACTAGACGTATAAAGCACGTTTTTTTTTTTGAAGGACAGAAGAGAGAAAGGGATATTACTATTGGTGTCCATTGTTGCACTTGATCTTATGTAAATGATAGAATACTAAACTCATTAACGTACAAATATCATCAATATGCTCAGTCGAAAGAATATAATCTGTACATGAAAACAATTCTATTTACTGCACTTTTTTCTCGTTGTGTGATAATAGTGATGGTAGTAGGATTTGTTTTTTTACGTTACTGAAAGGCACTGTTATAGTTAATCAAAAACGGAGTAGATTTAACAGCTCAAGAATATCCGTCTATTAGTCTAGATGGAAAAATGCCTATCGAGACTGTTTTTACAAACTTGAAATGATCGTTTGTATCAGAAAACACTGTAAATGCAAGTAGTCGTTTTGAGAGCAATGGTTACTTGAAAAATATATGGATTCACATCAAATTTGTTTTTCTCATTCCCGGCTTCTCTATTCCCGTAGGGTTGGATACAAGTTTCATTTTATTTAGCTTTTCATTAATAGTAGGATAGTGACAGAGAAGATGAATCATTGAATTCAAATAGAGATAGAAAAAAATCGTTCAAAAATATTTATCCACTCAATTTTTTGACCTTGTTAAAGTGCATTTTTATGTTCATTTAAATTTGTGTATTTCTGCTTCTTAATGTCCGAGGGTGAGAATGTTTAATAATAACTCATACAATTCAGTCATATTTCCTGAGGGTATTTTTTGTTGAAGCCTAAAGTTCTATTTGTACATATACTTGTGAACAGTAAAAGTGTTTCAATAATTTTACTGTTAGAGGTGAATAGTACACACTGATTGAAGTAGTACATACACTGATTAAATCGAATACAATTTGTTGAAGTAAATATGAACACATAATTAATAAACGGATTTTTGCCTCAGATACAATTTAATTAGCGTAAAAGGGAAATAAACATATTATTATGGAAGGGAGAAGAAAAAATAAAGAACTAGAGATCAAATGAACTGTCAAGTAATTATTTTTTGAAGAATATAAATGTGTGATTGATTAAGTTCCTTCGTTCTTTATTCTTCAGTTATGTAAACTGTATGATGGCGGTTGTTGCTGCAGTTCACGGTGGATGAGAGAATGAAATGCAACACGTTATTGAAAAAACATTGATATAGGCATTTACAAATGATGCGTGTATATATGGTATACTGCACTTGACAGGTTAAGAAATATTGAGTGATATTTCAATTAATATAAAGAGAACAGTTGTAAAAATTGTAATAGGAGAATATCAATCAAACTTAACAGAAAATAGCACAAAAACTAGGTAATTAAGTGATCGAAATTGATGAGACAATTTAAATCAGAATTTTTACATTTTTACTCTCTTTCGTGTTCTAAAAACATCGTTTCATAATCAGTAATTCAGATATGACTTGAATTATGAATCTTCTTTTTTTAGTTCTAAGATTAATCTAAATTAGAATATACTATGATCTTCCTCTTCTTGTCTTATTAGGTTAAATGATTGAAGATATTCGGTTTTGGATCATACGTATAATATTAATAATTTATCAAACATTCTTAAAAAAAATTTTTTCGTACAAAAAAATAGATTTGCTGCGGACAGACAACGATTACATGGAAACAAAAAACAAAAATGAAACCGTTTTACCTATACGAATAGAGAAACCCGATACACAGTATGAAAACACAACATGTAAACAAAAAAAGATCTTTTTACAGGAAAGAAATGATAGAATCACTGTTATATAAGCAGTAACCATTAATTTCGTTGGTATACACTCTAGATACTTGGCCAACACAGTCTAGAACAACTTTGTTTTAGCCATCTAACTGGACCAACACGGCTATTTTAACCTCCAAGATTCCATTAGAGAATTAAAGTTATTCATTTACAAAAATATTGTTCCACCCTTCTCAAACATTTTCGACATCTCACTTCACAACACCAATGAAATTGACATTCACAATCTTGTTCAATCGTTTTAACAACAATTTCATAGCCGCGATCACAACACAATACCGAACAACTACCCGGTTCATTAACAGTTAAATTACATGGGCGTCCTTGAGTACCCAATGAGCCTAATCTTAAATTTTTTTCACAAAATGATGGTGATTGATGAACGTAAACGAGATCAGAAACATTAAATAATTTAACAAGACGTTTTCGTGGTTTTAAAATATTTAATCTTCTATTTAATCGTACTTGTGTGGCACTTTGATATTTCAAACGTAATTCCGAGCCCACAATACGAAAATCTGGTAAAGTACGCCAACATACACGCAATGTACATGAACCCGAAACACCATGACACTTACATGTCAATTGAACATTACGTTCAACAGCCTAGAATCGAATAAATGTGCATTATCATTTCTAATAATATGAAACAATTAGGTAAACATAGGTTATTTTTATAACAGAAGCTGTTAAATTTCACTCTCTTTATAAATATAAGATATATATTTTTTTTTTCAATTGCCATACATTTCTTACACTGCTTTATATTCAATCGTTTCTATGCATCGTTTCTACCGCTAATCTGATTAGAGATATATTGTTGGTGAGAAAGAAAACAAAATTATACACCTGTACGTCTATCTAGTTATATACGTTGAACTTCTTGATATCTCTCATCATAATTGATATTTCTATTCTTATTGTACATTGCTATGATGATGTTCAACGTTAGATCTATAGCCGATGCACAGATTAAGATTAATTATTTTGATAATATAGAAACAAACGACGTATTTCAAACCATATGACGATAATAATAAGTGACTGCATAATCTGATAGACTTTTAAAAAAAATAGCTGAAAATTGCTGAAAAAGAATACCTAGTCTATCTATACCGAAATTTCTTGTCAGCAATAGCTTCTATACATTGAAATCATAAAAATAATCAAAAAAGCATGTTACCTGTCTTCCAGCTTCATTATTATGTATATTAACTATTCGAACAATTTTTCGTTTATTTATTGATTCTTGTCCATCTACAAATGTTTTACTAACATTTCTTCCATATTTGATATCATGTGAACATCCACCCCATTCCCAACCTACAGACTCCGAATTTTCACTATATAAATCTGTTGTTAAAGTTTGTGATGATATTGTTGATTGTTTTATTGGTAATAATGGCATTCGTTGCTGACGTTGTTGATTGATTTGTGTTTGTTGCTGTTGTTTATCACAACCACATTGACTTAGTTCACCTTTAGCACATGCTTTTCCAACAGCATGTACAACAGCAGCAGATGTTAAGGCATAAATAAAGGCTGTTTCAGGTGTTTCTAAATAAAACATTATAAAAAAAAATGTGATTTTAAATATTATAGACTAAATGTTCATTCTACTTGAAAGCGTCTTCCTGTCTACACTATAGGCTATTGATATAATATACACTTGTATCCTTGAATGAAGAGAGAGTTAATTATTTTTAGGGGACATTTATTCTAACTGATTACATTCTCAATCAGAAATTAGCCCTAAACGCATCATGTTTACATTATTATATTATTGTTTAAAAACTTTCTCGTAAATAATCACTGTTGTCTGGAAAGACGAAACAAGAATATATATATCACCATGTGGCAGATTAATTAGTCTATACTTGAATATTATTACATATACACACAAAAGGTCATGGTCGTAAGAGGCGAATTTCCGCTTCATGTGACAATAGTTTGTGTATAAATGTATATGATCATATAGACAGTAAACCATATAGCTTCAAGCAATTTGTTGTTCTTATTCTTCTTTTTTTTTCTGACAATAACTTTAATTTTAGAAAGGGTATTACGTATTTCTTTTTTTTACTTTAATGTATGCTGTATATATTTTAAAGTGTTGTTTCATCTTTATGATGACAGTATGTTCATCCCAACTGTGCAAACTTTTAGTTTTTTTAAACATATGTCTACAGTGGTATACGTGCTCTTATACTTATTACTTACTTCTTAAAACAATTTTTCCAAACACCTCTGAACTATTAAATATCGTACAATTCCAACGTTGATTACGAAATTGATATTGACATTCATCAATAGCCATTGCCACACCTCTACTAATAACACGCATCATTTTAGGATTTGTATGGCAATAATGTTTCTGTTCATTGGATAAAAATGTTAGAGAATAACAAAATTGTTGATGTTCAAAGGACGGTTGTTGTAATGACCACAGTTGAAATGCTGGTAAACCCAATGACCTGTAAAAAAATTCATAAGTGTTCTATTTTTGGTTCCCAGTAAAATAGATAAAAAAATAAAAAGCATAACTTGAAAGTTTATCAGACACTGTTTAAAAGGCTAATTTTCAAGGTGTATGATCTAATTTCTAATATGCTTAACAATTACCGCGCTTATGACAACTGATAATTGAATGTGTCGTACTGTTTGACAGGATCAAACAATAAACGATTATCGTCTTGTTTTATCAGTTAAACATAGAGATAATGAGTGAAGATAGATAAAGATCAAATGAAAATAGCAGCCATGTACTTTTTCTTATCTACTTTATATGTTCAAAGAATATTTACGAGCAATTTTGTTTCACTTGGATAGAAGACTGAATGTATGTGAAATTTCAAATTTAACAGTGTATAGATTAGAATTTCTATTCTAAGAGATTAACATTAATTGTTTTCTTTTGTTTATGTATTGTGTTTTGCTGAGAAAGTCACCGTTATATAAGTTAATCGGAAAATTGAATAGCTATAAAATAATGAGACGAGCTTATGTAACTTAAGCGATATTCCCATATTTAAACGTAAATCACTAAGTGTAAATTTCAAAAATTTTGTAATGATTAAAATGAGTTTCTTTCATCTCAAGTTTCCCATACAACAGAGAACTGGGAATTTTTTTTGCCGCGAAAAATCTGATAATACAAGAATGATACATTATTTTTAGAAATTTGTTTCTATTTATTCACTGCGATCCTCACAAATGGAGTCAGCTACTTGAAATACCTTATTAACAAAGGATATATTTCCTTATAGGATAATATCTCGTTTATTTTATTTCACTAGAAAAAAAACTTACCACCAGAATCCGTGGGTTGCATATTTTGATAATGATATTAATAAAATAATAAAGATTTGATTAACGAATTTTACGAACATGTTTTATAACATAAAGCCAATAACACTAATTCTTTGATTAATGTCTTTTCTTATTCTTTTTTACTACTATTATTTCAATTAGTGATACACAGATAGGTCGTGAATGTCGTTTAATATTGACAATAAGAATAGACGATTTAGTCACGGACAACAATTTGATGACAAATTACAAACGACTTGAGAATAAGACAAGTGAAACGAAACTTACAATAACAATAATGTGAAATCTATATTGTATTCAGAAGAACTTTTGTACCATCAACATACAAAACTTGTGTATGTGTCTTATCTTCAGATTCGAAAGGAGGAAAAAAATTTCAATCTTTTTTCTTTTCTCTTTTCTCTTTTCTCTCTTTTCCGTTTCTTTTCTTCTCTCTTACGGATGAAATTATGTTGAAAATTGTTCATAGAACAAAACACGAAAGACAGAAAGAGAGAGGGAGAGAGAGAGAGTTAGAGAGAGAGAGAGAGGAGAGAGAGAGAGAAAGTTAATTACACCTATTTGTTTACATCTATCGATATGTGATGAATGTCAATTGGATTCGCAATAGCTGATATATTTTTAACCATTCAAAAAAATTGTCACTTCGAAAGAGAGAGAAAGTTGATATCATTAAAAGATTAATTGAACATGGTTAAATTTAAAGAGGAAATCGAATAAGTGATCAACATCCGGTAAAAACACACAAAGAGCGTTCACTCTATTTCCTTACCTTAACCAAAAAAGTGTGTTATTATTATTGGAAATAATATAAAGCATCCGATAAATTTAAATTTTCTCCATTAAAACCAATTATTACTTTTAAAGTGTAAATAATTCGAGGACAAAAAATATTTGATCATATAACCGTACATCCTTAATTCATACGAGTAATTAAAGCACAATTCGTATGCTATTCTATATATTATCTATGTTTCTGCAATTATCGAACATAGTCGGATACAAATCTCTTTTTAATGTCTTATACATTAGAATCAATAAAGACTCTATGAGAAAAAAAAAGAGGCGAAAAATAACATTTAATACAGTGTTTATCCTGAGATGAAGTAATTTTTTACTTCTAGAATAGATGCTACTATCACATACACTTCGATCTCAGCTTTTTTTTCTTATCAAATAGTCTGTTTTCTTTTAAAACAGAAATGTTGTTTTTTGTTTATAAAGAATAAAATGAGAAAATAAGTATAATGGATAAATGTTGATCTTTAACTCCATATGAGAGTAATCGACATCACTGAGATTTCTACCCTGTATAAGTTTTGTTTTGTCTTTTTATACAATCATAATATGATAAATTTTGATTTTAAAATATTGTAAAATTCTATTTAGTTTTCAATGATTATCAATAGTATATCATACTCGATGATATTGTATGCATGTGATCAAAATCATTATCATGTCAGATGAAAGAGTTTTGTTTTAACCATTATCTTATTTTATTATAAAGTCTGTCTATACTTTACTGGTTAATGTATATTGATAGTAAAAAAAAATAGAGTATTTGTCATTGATGGACACCAATATTCAAATCGACGACTACCTTCAACTCATCATCGTCGACGAAGTAGTATAAAACAACAGCTGTTATAATCATATCCATACACAGAGCAAGTTTTTCTACTCAATTTCTTGATGTTTTCACTCATCTCTTTATCATTTTTTGTCACCAAAAAAAAATGGCCTTTATACATAATTCATTGATGCCACGACACATGGTGAAGAAAAAAAAAAAATCTCTATTAAACTGTTCATAGTATAGAAGAGACACGAAAAGAAGCGACTGTGATGAAGTTTAATTTATTCAAACTATTATATAAAACAACACTTGTGATGGTAGTGATTGATCATCATTCAACCTTGTCATTATGTTAGTTTTAACACCTAAGTTTTTCTTTATGTCCTGTTAGTTACTATATGGGCTATTTAACATAATTTTCTCTTTTGATCTATTTGTTTCACAGATTTTTATGAATCAAATACGGTGCGTGGGAGGTTTAACCTGAGGAAACAAAAAATGGAAACAAAAAAATGTTTTTTTTCCTATTGTCCGAACTAAACAAATTTTTTTTTCAATATCATTTCTAAACACATAAGTCAATAACAAAAATAATATTCGATCCACTGATATTTATTTTTGACCAACATATAAAAAAACATTCTATTGTCATGTTAATTCACATAGTCTCTATTCTAGTTCAAAAATTACCACATCTTCCAATCTATATAAAGTCTAATCTTTTGAGAACAGAATATATTTAATATGTCACACAACACCTATATAAGTGATGGTCGATATGACACCTGTACTATCTATGGTCAGTATAAATGTATGTAAGGGGATTAAAGATTTTTTGGTACGAATTGACTAATTTTTTTGTAACATGTCAAGTGAAAAAGATTTTTTTAGAAAGAAACGGAAATAAATTAGATCCTAACTTTCAATTGTTATTAAGCTTTATTAAATAACTAGATTAATCTATCTATATAAATATCTTCATTGATACAAGATAATCAAGATTCGAGAGAAAATGTAAATTGGATTACCAAAATTGATTAAATCAGTCGATAACATTGGAAAATTTGTGGTGTTTTACTACTTTGAATTGTTGTAGTTTGCCTACTTAACGTCTGTTGAAATATAGACGAATTAGCATTTTCAAATTGGATATTTTGTTTGCAAAGATTCTAGTTTTAAAACGATTGAATGATATTTTCATGACGATTCTCTCCCCTATGACACAAAAGATATACACACACATTGATAATATCAATAAAACTATTAGAAAAACAAACAACATCTTTAGATATTTTTCTACTATAAGAATCAGAGCAGATGTTTTTGTTGAGTGATTCATGTAAATTCAATAATGTTGGATCATCTGCCAACAATGGGAATTACAACTATAATATGTCTCACATTAAGAATCATTGTAGAAAACAAAGGTTATACAAATCCGCATTTTTCTTATATTTGTGTTACTTGAGAAAAGAAAAATCGACCATCAAGTCAATGTTTGAGTCATGAGAGGACTGACGAACACGTTAGAAAAAAAAGGTTTGTGTACTTGTCGACGGAGAATAAGTTATGAGAAAGGTTGAGTCAGATAGATCACAGTAGTTGATAGAAGAATTCAACAAAAAAAAAAAACGAATAACTGATTAAATTTCTTCTGAACATTATGATTATTCAATTTCATATTGTCGGTGAACAAAGCGATGGATGGTACGATCCACTTTCACTATTATCACAGATACAACATTATCGATAACGCTCAGTAGACTATAGGAAAATAAAGTATAAAAATAGTTTTATCTATATCAATAATAGTCCAAAATTAATCATATATTTCATATAACAACTCAGATGGAGTAATAGTAGTTAGTAATAGAACATATCTCTTTATTCGCTATCTCCACACTAAAAAGAGAAATTCGATGAAGTAATAATCTAAGGAAATCTGTTAGAAATATACATTTCATAAAACGTTGATGCTGACCTAAACACATGAACGCATAGCGTAGTGTGTTTGTTCTTATGGTCTACATTGTTTCTGTCAAAGATATGAAAGATTTCTGGCGATTTCCGAATAAGTTGTCTAAAAAGCCTAAAACACTTTTTGTGAGATTATAATATTAAATAATACATATAATGTTAAAACACCGTAATCAATAAATATTTCAATGATACTGGTGTGTAGAGCAAAAACGTCCAGTTAAAATCTGACGTTTTCCGCTGAAAAATTCCCACTCAGTTCAAACGCTCAAGAGCTCAAGATGGCTTTCGTAGAGAACAACAATCTTGCTACTTCGATGGTATAGAAATAGATAAAACAAAAAGATCTTATTATCGTACTTTGCCATAGTCATCATTCGTTGAAAGTTTCGCTCAGATCGGACTTGTAGTTACCGAAATAGATTTCTGAACCGCGACGATTTGGAAAATACGTACACATCGCAATATGTGGTTTTTACTAATATTTGATGAGTTTGTAAAGATTGTGGAGGATATTCAAGCTACTAGAGTTACATCTTGTTGTTTCTTTTCATCGATCGGATTCTGTTTTGTTCTGTTGAAGTCATATGATGTGAGGAGCTATTTTCCTCTTATTTACCGGCGCGTTCAATTCCTGCAATTTTCCCAATAGCCCTGCGGAACTCTAAACTTCATGTAACGTGGTTTATCACCGATAAAAAAAAATTAAAGTTTGTTTAGAGTTAAAGAAAAGTGCTTTTTAGTATTTATCACACTTTTTAAACTGTAAAAATTTTTGTTTTTTTTAGTGGGGTT